CGCTTCATCCATTGAATCCACCGTTCGCAGCCAACACCAAGTAAGTGCCCTATATATAATCAAGGGCAGCCTTCTACTATCAACGGGAACAAGGAAGTCAATGGGTCGATATTTGTGTTGGAAATGAGTGTCAATGTATGTCCTCTTCTCAATAAAAAACCATCTATCAACGAACTGAAAGTTTTTGGAATGGAAAGGCACAGCAACCTTCTTGGAAATGCGTAGCAACTTTCTTTAGTGAAGAGGGGTTGGGGTACTCCCATTGACTCGCTCATAACTTGTTGGGTGTTGGGAAAATGGAACGCGGATGATATTCGTATTGGAGCCTCTGTATAGAAATTGGAATTATGCCCGGACTGAGAACAACTGTTGCTCGTCTGCAACAACAATATTAGTACGATGCTGATTCATGGAAACATCGAATGCGGGTGGTCGTATTCGAGCCTGTATATTCACGAAGATACAGCTCAAGAACATCAAATTTAGTTCTCCTAAAAGTAATGGAAACAGAGCATCTTTCTCTTCTCCTTTTCTTTACGCAAAAGGCAACGGAGCATCTTTCTTTTCCGCTTGTTCCAAATTTCTCCTGTGACAGACGCAAACCGATGACGGAGCGGCGAATTTTCATACAGGCTGAGGATAGGCATCCAAGTCACATCGTCTGCAAGGAGTCTGCCTGAGATGGCGAGGCACGCAGCTACGAAGAAGGGACATAGCCGGCCCAATGGTTCTTGATCGACATGAATCATGAGAGAACGACAAGAGCGAAAGAACTGATTTCGCCTGCAGGCCAGCACTTCAGACTAGCCCACAAGCCCCGAGCGCGGAATAGATGCTGCCAATTGAAGCGTGAGAACATCCGCCGGGGCTGTAGTGTGAAGTGAAGACTTCGAAGGGAACAGCGTGGATCTATGTAACACCAAGGAGGTGGGCGCCCCCTTTGGATGGAGCGGGGGCGGCGTCCGCGCGCCCGTTTTTCCGCTGTGGTGACATGCAAAGACTGCCCGGTGCGAAAGCCTCAAAAGGCGGAGCCGGAGTCCCCTGGCGGCTCTCCACGTGCACCCCACGCACAGGCGTCCCGACTCTTGGACCCTATCAAGGGGACAGCCTCCGGGGGAGGAAAGCCTAGCCGCCGAAGGCGGCCACAGTCGCGAGGCGTGGCCCCTTTGGCGCTTATCCCCCCAATTGGTGGCAGCATCAGCCGCCACCAAACGCCCGGGGAGATAAAGACCAAAGGCGAAGAGGAGGGGGAGCAAGGCGTGCCCGCCTGGGTTCAGTCGACAACATGCAGCCCGGCGAAAGGGGTGAAGCCTTGCCACCTGCTGCCCTCAGAGGCCTCCCACCTCCCAAAGGGCTCTCCCAGTGAGGAGCCCGCACCCACGCGGGAGGTTTGTAAGATAAGTACACACAACACGGCATGGGAGGCCTGTAGGCAAGCAACACGGCAAGGGGGTCAAGCCTTGCCACCGTTGCCGCCTTCAGAAGCCTTCCATCCCCGGCCGTCGTTGCTTGAACCGCCTCAGGGGTTTGGCTTCTGTAGGGTACAAGCAAGAAGCCGCGAGGGCTCGAAGGTGGGCATTGATTTGGAGGCCTTCCCGCCCGGTAGTCCCTCGAGAAATAGGGTCCGGGGCTGGAGGCCCTCTCCTCAAAAAGTTAGATCAGAGGGCTTTCAGCCCGGAGCCCTGGAACATAAATGAGAATAATTTATAGGGGTGTCAGATCCAGGCCCCAAGAGGGGATGGATCGGATGGAACGAGTGGACTTCCCATCATTTCAGGTAGGATCGGAAGACTTAGGGGGGTCGACCCGATCCATCCGACCCATCCAAGTCCATCCTACACCCGTTCGCTAAATTATTCTAATACTTGGTGAACCAGGAGGTCGAGAATGGCAACCGCTACGGCGGTTTTGGGCAACGGCCAAGTTCCGAGGCAAGAGCACCGAGAATTGCCTGCGAAGTGAGAGGTGCCCAAGCCTGGGAGGGAAGTGTGGGAGAACCGAGAAATAGAGTACTGTGAATCGAGAACCAGAGAAAGAGAACAGAGAATCAGAGAGGAGAGTACTAGAGAAGAGAACGCGAATGGAAGCACTGCCGTGACTTGACAGCGCTGCGTGTAGGATGCGCAGCCCCCAAGTGAAGAGAAGACCGAACTACCGGCCCCGACGCTGTTCCCTTGGTCTAAGTAATCTCGCTCAAACCAGCATAAACGAATGGCGGCGCCGTCCTTGCAATCCTGGGCCCTCTCCCTCGTCCTCAGGAATCCTCGTACTCACCTCCGCCAGCTCTTCCTCCGCGATACGTTGAACGGTAGCGACACCCATGTGCTTCAGGATTTCAGCGACGTCTGCTTCCTTTCTATACAGAAGCGCCATCTTTATCTCGCTGGCCGTGACCCCTGTTCCAACGAACAGGTCCGCCAGTTCTTCCCTTGCATCAGGAAACAATGTCATCACCATTTTAAGAACCGGCCGCACCTTGCATGTCCACGCAAGATCTTCCAGTATCGCCCTCCACTCTTCCCACGTCGTGCGCACGTCCTCGGCGTTGGCGAGTAATTGGTGCAATACCTCGGTCACAAGGTCGGCGTCATCATGTTGCGCCAGATGCATGTGTCGGCAGAGACTTACCGCCGAAGCCCACGAATCCCAGCAGCACCAACAATGCCAATCATCCTGGTCCAATTTATACGAATCCCAGCTGCAGCACCAACAATTCGATTCCCAATTCCAACCACAATAAAAGTTCTCTACTGCATCCCTCAGGTCGAAAATCGCCTCTTTCGCCGCCGGCAAAGTCTTGAGAGAGAACTGGTTTAGTGGCGACTTGACCAGGTACGTAATCTTGTGTCTCGGAACCTCTTTCGAACAATTGCCTCCCTTTCCTCCACTCTCATCTTTACTCTCCGGCGCTTGGCAGCACTGCTCGTCCTCCTTCAAACCAAGAAAAGATTTGAGAGAAACCGACTTTGCGCCATCCACGAAAGCTTCGACTCTTTCTGTCACCGTCAGCTCAAGCTGTTCCATTTTTGTCGTGACATCTTGGTCCTGAAGATGTTCTTCGGATCCACTCGGCACGCTGCCATTGTTCCCCGCTTCTTCCTCGGAAGCCTCTTGCACATCCTTCATCCCGACGTGAATCAGGCTAGCCGGAATGAACGGACCCTTATGCTCAGGAGAGACTGACAAAGCGTAGGCAATCATCCACTTCAGGTCGTAGATGCTGGCATCTTCGAGTGGCATGTCGTCTAGGGCGAGCACGTCCCCAGACAACATATTTTGCACCTCGATGTTGATCCTGATCTTTTTCTCATGCGCGTTTATCTCATGCGCGTTCGTATTTTTTCCGGTTGCATCCGACAGCGACATCTTGAGACGCTTTTCTTCTACTTGATCTTGATGATATAAATGGGCTGGGGTAGTTCTTGTATCTGATCTTAAGTTTTCAA